CCATCGCTCTGAGAGGAGTTCTGCCTGGCATTCGGGCAGTCCCACAGCCCGGGTTAAACATGGACTTTTCAGGACAAATTTCTGAGCTTGTGTTTTTAAAAATAAGGTACATTTAGTCTTATAACTAGAACAAAGGCTTCTGAAATTTGTATTAAAATAAGATGAAACTGAATTGTTCACATAAAAAAATGAAAACATGGTAAAACTAGAAAAATGCAGGTTTTTTGGGGGGGCCGGGGGAACCGAGAGGCCAGCCGAGTCTGGGTGGACTGATGAGTTACAACAACAAAATAATTTCCCTTTGGGATTAATAAAGTATTATTGAATTGAATTGAATTGAATTTACTCCCATTGATGTTGTTATTAAGCACTTTGGTAACAGCTTCTGTTTTAAATATGCTTTATAAATAAAGTTGACTTGACTTCGTGTGAGTTAGTTCGCTGTGGTGACCCCTGAAGAAGGAGCAGCCGAAAGAAGGTTTTTATTTGTTAGCTGCTGGGTAACTGGTTTTGACTTAACTAAAGATTTGCTCATTTGTTTTTAGCTACAACTTTCCTCATAGTATGTTTATAAATCACACTATTGAAATCCATTTCTGCGTTTTTCAACACGTAACTCATCCCATAATTTTGGGGGCCGAGATGGTGTAGAGGCAGGGCAGCCGGCTTGGGACCCGAAAGTCCCAGGTTCGATCCCCAGTCACTGCACATCACGTGGCGTCTCTGGGCAGCACGTCTCATCCCCAAAATGTCCCCCGGGCGCTTTCAATAGCTGCCCACTGCACCACCTGGTGGTGGATGGGTCAAATGCAGAGACTAATTTCGCCATTGTATGGAAACATATTGTGATGACATTATTATTATTCATGTATTAAAACATTCAGCTTGTGCAGGACACTCCTGCTGTGACTTTTGGTATTTGTGCAAATTTTACTTTTAGAAATATTTACTTTTTCAACCATATTTTTGATTGAAAATGGATCTCTCTTTGTGTCCTTCAAACTCTTTGTGCTGTTTAAAACCTTTTACTGCTCCTTTCAGCTAAAATAATCTTTTTTTCCATCTTATTTTCAGGCATTTTTCTACTAATTTTATCCTTTTACTACGTTTTTTTGGTACTAATTTCTACCTTTTGTGATTTTTTCTTCTTCAAATAATTTAAACTGTCATCCTTTCAGCCTCTTTCTAATTTGAGCACTTCTTAGCTTTTTCATCTACCGGTAAAGTTTTTCCAATTTCAGATTTTTTATTATCTATTCACCCTCTGCCTATTTCAGCTTATTCTGCTCTTTTCAGCTTTTTCTATACTTCACACATTAATTTCCACTTTTATTTTTCTGCTTTCAGTAAATGTCAGCTCACATGAACCGTTCAGCGATAAAACCTTTCTTTCTAGCGGGCTTCAGCTTCTTCAGCAGCTTTCAGCACAAAACATTCACACTGCATTTTTCTAGTTTTACCATGTTTTCATTTTTTTACGTGAACAATTCAGTTTCATCTTATTTTAAAACAAATTTCAGAAGCCTTTGTTCTAGTTATAAGACTAGATGTACTTTATTTTTAAAAACACAAGCTCAGAAATTTGTCCTGAAAAGTCCATGTTTAACCAGAGATCACTCATAACATAAGACACTGTTCTGTTAGATCAGGGGTGTCCACACTTTTTCATCCTGCAGCTCCTTTTAAAATGACCAAGTCAAAGTGATATACCTACAATAAGGCCCCGTTTACACGAGAACAACCTCTGGAAATGTTAGTGATTTTTTCAATGTTTATTGGGGGTAAACAAAAAATTAGTGGGTTTACATGAAAATGCTGTAGTTTTCATGTCAGTCACGTTGCCAGATAAGAAATTATGAACTATAGTACTGTGGCTTTAAAATTATAGTATTTTGACCTAAACTGTCATATGTGCTGAGTAAAGATATTCTAAGATGAGGCGTGTGTTGTGTTTGTTGAACATGTGCACAGAAAAGGAGAGGGGAAATAAGACATTTTACATTTATCTGGCAACCCTGATGCCAGGCTCAGCTGCATTAATCGTGCACAATTTAGTCCAAACTGGTGAATACACTAACATCTCTTTGGAGCCTGGATTTTATTAGTTTTGCTCCTACATGCTGAAAAAGGGTGAACAGCACAAAAACACTCTGCTCTCTGACATTTATTATAACGTTGATATATTTATTATAACTGCTGTTAGAGCAGAAAATCTTTGGACTGCAGCCACCTGTAGTATGTGCCTCTTCACACCTGGAGCGTCACACTCCGTGGGGGCTCCCCTGAAAATCTCCACTCTAACTGGATTCAGAAACCTTCGGTTAATGAGGCTGTTGTCTGTAAATGAACGTTTCATGTCATGTAAACAGGGCCTCAGACAGGCTGCCCTGTTTGTCAATCAAGATTAATTTCATAGATGGATGACAGACTGACGTCTAGTTTTTAATACCACGCCATCTACCCAGAAAACCTTTGAGATCGACCGATAGATCGAGATGCACGTTTTGGGCACACCTGCATAAGAATAAATGAACAGGATGATGTGTATGGAATTTAAAACTGCTTTGACTTATTCAACAATACGACGAGACAAACGAGATGTTTGTGGATGATTTAATACCATATTTTCATTTTACATGAAGGACACCATTAGAGGATGAGAAAAGCTGCACTGCAACAATGAAGGATGAGAATCAGCTGACTAGTTAGCATTGGTTGACTTTTCTAATGCTTCAGACATCAAACTGATGTGCCGACATGTCAGTCAAAAGCAGAAAATCTGCGTAACTTTTAAAAAAGTGCAAAGATACGTGCTGAAAAGACCTCGTTTAGCTGCTGTCCCATCCATCAGCTTTTTCCTTGGAGGCAAGTAAATATACACATGGGTTAAATTAGTGTGCAGACACAGAATGATACAGTTTAAACACGTTCCGTGTAATCCAAAGTTGAAATCGACAGGACTTTAAGGGAACCTCGACAACCTTCGTCACCGAGTGTCAAAACGTTTTCAGACACGAACACTGACCGTGTGTCTTACAGTACATATAGGGTGTCAACTGCTGAAAAGATCCAGTTAGCAACATTTTATTAGTCACTCCTTCAATTTACCGAGCCCCACCCATCACAATCAACGCCACCAACTAAGGAAGCCTACTGCTGCCACACCAATAAACAAAACAATTGTGCTAAAATGTAAAAGGTTTACATGAACAATGCATTTGGGCTAACTTTTTTGCTATAACTAAATATTTTATGGTATTACAACATATATATGTTTTAAAAAATCACAAGAACAATAGAAGTTATTTTGAAACAATTCAATATTATTCCAATGTTTAAAAAACGTTATAACTATATATTGTCTTCTAAAGTGAAAAGACTAGACTGAACATAAAAATTTGTTATATTATGACAAATATAGCATAAGGAACTAAACAATTAGAAGACAGCATATTAACATGACTCAAAAAACTAGAGGCAGATGTTTTTTTTTGTTTTATTACGAAGTTTCGAGGTTTAAGTCAAAATGAGTCAAGTGAAAATGGTAGAATTATTATTTTGATATTTGAAAAATGAAACAAAACTATCATTGGCACAAACATCTCAGAAAACCTATTATTTTGAAGTTTTAATTTCAGAATACATTTTAATGAAAATGTATTCTTTTGACAAATCTGGTAACTTTTGACTGGAAGTGTACGCGCTGGGCCGGATTTTAGCAGGGGCTTACAGGGGCTGCAGCCCGGGGCCCCGGCATTTCGGGGGCCCCGAAGGATGTTTTATGTTTTTGTGAATGGACAGTGTCAGAATTTAATCAATGACTATGATGATTTTGAGAGCACCGATGAAAAATGTTCCAATTTGTTCTGGCAAACGTCCATCTTGAATGCTTGCTTGTTATTGGTCCACTTTTGACGCATCTTACGCATTGGGGAGGAGCATCAGGGAATATTATTTTACAATGGCGGACAACAAAAAATATGTCAGCGGAGCGCAGAAAAGAAGGAAGAGAAAAGAAAAAGAGCATCGTGACAAAGAGGCGACAAACAAAATGCCTAAACTGACAGGCTGACTGAAAGAACTTTGGGGCTGTAAAATAATTTGAAAACAAACTTGGTCTTTTTTAAAGTTTATCTGCTAAATTAAAGTAAAAATGTAAATGATTGTAGATACAAAACAAAGATGTTGCATGTCTGAATTATGAGACAGGCTCAAAGTTTCTAACTTTTCAGGGTTGAGTATTGTTTTCTTATTTGGGTTACATGGTTTGCATTTGAGTAAATGTCGGTCGTGTTTGTGGTTCTAGTTCCTCCAAATAAGATGAATGTGGAAGTGTCATTAATAAATGGAAATCTGTATTTTGTTCTTCATACGTTTCAACATGTTCTCTGTAAAAACCTTGGTCTAGAAGATGAAAATTGTTCATTTGCACCCATCTCTGCTTTTATTGAGAACAGGGGGCTGTAAAAAATCATAGAATATGAAAAAAAACTAGAATATGATGCAAGCATCATATTCTAGTTTTCAACCCCACATGTTGGGGTTGAAACTAGAATATGATGCAAGCATCATATTCTAGTTTCAACCCCAACATGTGGTTTAGTCTTTCTAGAAAAGAGTTCAGAGTTGTTTGTAGTTTGTGACAACTGGCTTATTAAAGTTGTAAGTTGTGCAAACTTACTGTTCGGTCATTTTCTGCTCATCCTCTAAAACAAAACAAGTACGCGTCTTGTAAATAAGCTCAAAAAGGCTAGCGGCTAACGTTGCAGTACGAGTTTTGATACTCAATATAATGAACTTTTATGATTTTCAAAAGAAAACAGGCTGCACTTGGGACTCGCTCAATAAGTGTTTCATCGTAAATCTCAAACCTCAACAAGAAACACAGTTGGGTTCAGGAACACAACTAGCTCAACTTTTATTCTCCATTTCCACTTTAATCTGTCATTTTAACTTTAATCTCAAAGCTGGGGAAAATAGAGTTTCCTTGTATTTTTTTCTTCTGAACAACCCCTAAAACAATGTTGTACTTTTCACAGCAAAGTATGATAAAAAATAAAAAATTGTGGCAGCAATATGCGTCTGTAGAAACAAATGATTTGATGAAACAGCACTTTAAACTGTCCTAAGTGCATTAAGTTGTCTGCTGTCATATCATGACAGTAATAAATTAATTTTTCCAGCTACACAACCTTTGTGTTAAAGAGTAATTCAGCAATATTCCACAACATGATGAGTAAAAGTAGAAAACAGTACGGGCATATAAAGTACAAAAAGAACAAAGTATCGATTGTAAACGGCTAAAACAAACTGAACTCAGTGGTGATAAAAACAGTCCAGTGGAAGTCTGTCCATTGTAGATTTGCATTTCAAATCATTTCATGGTGTTCGAAAAGTAAAAATCTTGATCCAAATGTAACCAAATCTTATGTTCAATTGAAAGGGAACATACAGGCTGATTGTATTAATGCAGTTTCCTTCATCTGCTCATTCTGGATAATTCATATTAAATCTGATTTAGTAGTGTAAATATAAAAATACTGCCTTATAGATCCAAATTATGAGTTTACCTCCAGCTTGTCCTATGGGCCAGTTTTACTCACATGAGTCATGTTTAATCAAGTGTAAAGTTAAATACAGACTGCTCTGAAGCCAAAGGCACCTGATACGTGCTCTGTCAGCAGAAATGTCATTTATTGAAAGAAATCACAATGCAACAACGTTTGCCTAAAACTTGTTCAGGTCACAAAACCTGGTAGACAGAAATTCTGTAAACTTACTGTAGATTTTAATCATAAACAGTAATGTTGCACAATGTCCACCAAAACAGGAGGGATTTGGAGGTTGCCTAATGCTCTACCAGAGGCAGATTTCACACGAGACAGACTTTTAGTTTCAGAATAATGGATCTTATCCAAATACAACGTCCATCTTTCAGCATGAATGTAGAAAAAATACATATCATGGACAGAAACTGAAAAAAAACAACAGATTGTCACTAAACGTGATGAGGCTGAGAAGGTGATGAGTGGAATGTTTAGGAGACGACACAGCCGGTGTCTTTCTGAGGCTTCAGATCTGGTTCCTTCACCGGCTTCACCTCCTCGTCCTTGGGCTTGGCCTGGAGGTTCAGAAAAACAAATCAACTATCACGTACAGACACGTCGGTCAACTCAAGGGCTGCACACAAAGCTCCAGTTCCAACAGAAGGTTCCCAAACTTTTCCATGCCATGGCCCCCCAAACAGCATTAACTTCTAGCGGAGCCCCCTTGCAAACCCACAAACAATGCTACAAAATATGTAAAGAAACGTCAACTTTTAGAATGTTTTAACTTTTATTCACTATATTCAATTAATTATTACAGCTGCTGAGCGCAAAAATGTTATTAACTAACATGTTGTAAACAATGCATTATATTCCCACTGAAAAAACAACTTTTCAACAAACTGTTGACCAGAAGAACAAAACTAAAGAAATCTAACCTCTCTCTCCAGCGTGTTTATCTGGAAATGACAGATACAGATTGCCCAAGTGGGCAATTTTTATTATTATTATTATTACAATTTTTTATTTTTGCTGGTTTTTTTATATCTTCTTCTCTCCAGCTTTTTGGGGCCCCCTAGTACCCCCTGGCGATCCTCCAGGGGGCCGCAGCCCACACTTTGAAAAACACTGTTCTAACGGATAGCTACGCATGCAGGAAGAGGGCCACCTGCATCACGAAGACCCCACTCACCCAGCACACACACTTTTTGCCCTGCTCCCCTCAGGAAGGAGGTTGAGGAGCATTAAGTGTAGAACCAATAGACTGAGGAACAGCTTCTACCCTGAAGCTGTTAGTCTCATGAATCTCTAACCAGAAAAATCACTGTGAAAAATCACATCATGTTGCTGCTGATCTGTTTCATGTTGCTGCTGATCTGTTTCATGTTGCTGTGTTCATTCATACTCATCTGCTCACACAGACTCATGTTTGTGCTGCTGTTCGGCATATTGTTTTTGTACTACTAATGCTTAGTGTATTCTTAGTTAATGTTTTTCTTAGTTCATATCTTAGACCTTATTGCTGTTTTTCTTTTGCATTTTATACTTTGTTGGATGGAACTGGGACCCTGTGAACACAATTTCGTTCCTCTTTATGTACCACATGTGGTGCGAATGACAAATAAAGAACCTATGACTATAAAAGGGGATAAGTGGTGATTCAGCCGAGAGTCTCGAGCAGTTCTATTTCGTATAGGCTTCGCCCTTTAAGGCTGTCGCTGGTGGGTTTATCCATAGGCACCGAGCGCTGCACTGAAAAACTTTAGTCCACGACCACCTGCTGTGTGTGGGCCTCACCCCCGGTCCGTATAAATTATGGTGAGAGCGGGTAATCAGCTCCCATTTTTTCTTCAGCCAGCTAGCTAGCACTGTCAGAAGAACGAAGAAGGAAAAGTAGTCCAGCTTTGACCGGCACAACCTTTGCTAAGGATGCCTAGGTCTCCGCCACGCCAACCTCCTGCCATCCCGGTGAGCTCCTCCTCCCCAAGGAGAAGCAGACGAGCAGCCTTGTTCAAGGTAAGCGCCGAGGAGCGCTTTTCCGTGTCGGGCCACTACCCGCTGGACGATGCCATTGCCTTTTCTAACGTGTTTTTTTTCCCTTGCGGTAATCGAATGATTTCCTCAAAAAGGCGATGTTAGCAGCAGACCCACTGAATGCTTTTCCGTGGAGGGCTGCTACTCGCTGGACGACACCGCCGCCTTTTCCAACGTGTTTTTTTCTTGAGGTAAATCAGATAATTCCCTCGAAAAAGGCGTTGTTGGCAGCAGCTCCGCTGAGTGTTTTTTTCTGTGGCAGGATGCTATGCGCGGGACGCTATGCATGGGACGAAGCCACCGCCTTTTTTGACGCAGAGTCACACAGTGAATCAAATGATTCCTCCAAGAAAGGCGATGCGGAGCTGCCCCTTCCCTCCTGGAGAGCATAATGACGGAAGACGAGTGGCCGAGCGGATGCTCAGCCACCTCGGATCTTCCCACGTCGGCGACCACACCACTCCCAGCCATGGGCGCCGTCCTCTCGGAGCTGCCCGGCATAATCCAGGAGGATGTTAACACAAGGGACTTTCCGTCTCTCGCCTCCCTCCACCCTGATCGAATGATCTGGCGGCAAGGTTGGCTCTGCCCCGACTTGTCGCCATAACCCCATCTGGCCTAGCTGTCCAGCTGTGACGTCACACTGGAACGAGACTGCAACTGGGCCGGCAAGCTGAAGACATCCGTCTCCACCTTTGCCTCCATCTCCAGAGTGGAGGGTTTTACCGATCTGTGTTTTTTCCCTCGGTCCCCCCACCCCGGAGCCAAGATTGGCGGTGGCACTTGGGCAAAAGCTTCCAGGATGGACCAGCAACCTGTCCCTCCAGGGAAGAATGACCAGATGGTGACAAGGTCTCCAACCGAGCTCACCAGTGCTCATTCCAGACGGCCACAGCGAACAACAATGTTGCCCTGCTGGCCTACAGAATCTCTAAGAGGCTGGAAGAAGCAGACCTGCTGGAGGAGACAAAGAGCTCTCGCTGTCTCAGATAAAAAATGAACAAAACAAAAATAATCCAAACACCATCAACAGAGGTTGATTGTGTCGATAAGGCCCGCTTTAGTGGAAGTCAGACATGTCCAGACATGCTCTTGTTCAGGCCTGGATAATGGGAAACAGATGCAGGAGAAAGACACACGCACACATACACACATGTACATACACACTCAAGCACACACACACTCACACATACACTTGCAGGCAGTTACACTTAGACACACACGCGGGCAGAGGAAAGTAATGATGAGGAGAGTAAAAAGAGAAAGAAGACTTTTTCCTAATGAATTTGTCAGTTTTCAGATAAATAAAAATGAATTGTTGATTTACAAACGAAATCAAGTAAATAATCAAGTTGATATTCTAATCTTTTGTGATTTTGAAAATGTAATTTGTTCATTTCATGATGTTGTGAATTTGAGATGAAAGTGAACTGTCTTCTCAGAAGTGTTTTACAGAAATAATGTGCAAGGATGAGTTATGCAAAGAAAGAGAGTTTCACAATAATGAACCTTAAAGCAACTCCAAGCAAAACATAAACCCTTATAAGGTAAAAAAAGAGAAAAACAACTCAAAAGTTGAATCAGACAAGTCCGGACAAGAACCGGGCAGAATAAGGTTACACCCAGATTTTAACATGTATGAGTATGAGGTAATCTTCTCCCATGGACATGCATGAAAATACTGCAACAAATCCGACCCAAAAGGTGGGATTGAATGATGGCATGCTATTTCGGGGGTGTTACCCAGCACTCACCCTATAAAAATAGATGACTCTGTGAAACTGTGGCTGTTGGACTACCAAAGCGTGTGGATGTACAGGACAAGTCTTGGACGGTTCCAGCTGAGGAAGAACTAGGGCAGATCCGATGGAAAGGCTTCGCTTGGAGTTATTTCCCTCCTCAGCCCGGATCATTACCCGAAGCCTTTTCTTCAAATTCTGAACAGCTGTGGGACCAGGGATGGCCTCATTCAGGTGTGGGTGAGGTAATATGCTTCTTACCAAGCCGGAATTTTCAGGAATTCCACCAGAAAGCTATGGTGAGAAGACGTCTCAAAGATATTGTCCTTTATCAAAATTTATCTCAGTTCAGAACGGCAGCTTACAAAATTGCAAGCAGAAAGATCAACTATATTTTAAATTCGATTGCTTGGGGTTGTCAAAGGTTGGTTAATGTGGTGAGAGATAACATATTGGGGCAGGTAGTGAGTGTGGGGAGAAAGAATCCGTTTTAACAGTATGAATATATCAGCATATGTTCATACTACATCTGCGGCAGCGACTTCACACCCCGCTCCTCCACTGCCCCCCTCCACCAGGTAACAGATCCTTGAGGGGAAGGTATGTGTTTTTTGATGATGTATGTTTTTGATATAAAACAGAAACACCGCTGAAAGTAAAGTTGTTCATCTGAGACTGTCAGATCAGCTGATCTCTCAGCTGCCTCTCTTCACACATTCCCCACACAGAACGAGCCAGTAACCTCTAAACAGCGTTTTAAATGGCACCGCAGTTCAGTAAATATCACAAAACACTCGTCTGCCACGTCAGCTAAAATTATATTTCTTTTCAGCAGACCGAGTCTAGTAAAATCTCTCGTTTTTCAGCCAGAGCCCATTTTTAATTTCTGCTGTTTTCTGCCCACTTACAGCGCAGTGTAAGTAAATGTGTTTTCTCCACGACAGCTGCAGCCTCCACCGAAACAGCGTCTCACTCAGAATGCGCTCATGCCTCCTCTTGGTGTGCGCCGGCTCACCTCAGCTGTATGTGAAACCGCAGCCTGGGCCCAGCACAGAGGCACACATACAGACCTTTTTTCTGTCTGAGCCCCCATTGAGTTCCCCTAGAGAATCTCCGGAGCGAGTGATGGCATAAAGGATTTTTTTAGTATGGTTGACCTTCATGAGAAACATGACAAGACGAATGCGTGCCCGCTCTCCGAGTGCTACTCAGAGTGGCAGCGAGTGTGTTCCCTGGACAGATGGACGGACCATCTGATCAGAAGGGGTTACACGCTGCAGTTCGCAGCTCAACCCCACCGTTCAGAGGGATTATAGAAACGGTTCTGTCTTCTCCAGAACAGAACTCGTCTCTCCAGTCAGAAGTTCAGGAATTTCTGACGAAAAATGTGATTTCCAGTGTTCCCAACAGAGAGGAAAATACGTTTTTTTTCCTCCCACTACTTCCTGGTTCTGATTTTTTTTTTAAACGGAGGGATGAGATCCATTCTCGACCTGTTCATGTTCAGCAATTCGGTCATGGGGAGACAATTCCACATGCTGACAAACAGCTGCTGGAGAACTTTACCAGAACGACTGGTTTTCACCTCCATAGATCTGAAGAGCGCATCTTTTCACATTTCCATCATTCTGAAACACCCCACGCACGTTCTCGAAATGCGTGGAGACGGCTCTGCAGTCATTACACATGGCAGGAATGAGAATTTTTTTATCTGGACGATCTGCTCTTATTAGCTCGGTCCAGTTAGAAAGCTGTCACACAGACCAAAACGCTAGTGTTACACCTGCTAAACCTGAGGTTTCTATAAACTGGGAAAAACTTCCGTTCGTCCATCCCAGATGATTGTTTATCTGGAAGTGGAGCTAAACTCAACTACAATGAGAGACGTTTATCACAGCTGAGCGCCGAAGCTATCAGCTCAGCTCCTCCGTGTCAAACCCAGCTCCGCCGTGTCAAACCCTGCAGCATAGTGACAGTTCTGCCTGTCATGCGACTCCTGGGACAATGTCAGCAGCCTACATCGTGGTTCCGCTGGGCCTACTTCACATGAGACGCCTTCAGAGATGGTTTGCCCGCCTGCGCATAGATCCTGTGCGCCAGAAGAGGTGGATTATCTTTGTGCCCTCCCTCCGTGTGAACCGATCTGAATCACTGGGGAAACCCCCTCATTCTGTCAGAGGGAGTTCCCATCAGCAGGCCTACATCACACGTCTTAGTTTTTCACAGACACGTTCCTGTCAAGCTGGGAGGAATGTTTCTGTCCCAAGCAGTGGGAGCACAGTGGCTGGACCACGTCGCTTTACATAATGTGCTAGAATGTTTTTCACGGTCTGAAACGTGACTCAGCATTTTGCCCCTGCTGCGGGATCGGCATTTTCTGATCCACACAGACAACAAGTGACGGCAGTTTACATAAACCGTCAGGGAGGTGTGCGCTCAGCCCAACTGTTACGCATTGCGAAACAGCTGTTGTGTTGGCCACACAGAACCCTGCTCTCCATCAGAGCAGTGGACTTTCCCAGCGTTCCTGAACAGGCGAGCGGATATTGTGTCGAGGGGCGGTCCCTGCCACAGAGACTGGAGCCCCCATCCCGAGCTGATTTCTCGGATTTTGGAGCAGGTTTGGCCGAGCAGCAGTGGATCTGTCCGCCACACGGGAGAACGCCCAGTGTCAATTATGGTTCTCAATGAGCCCACGAGACGACCCACCGTTGGGACTGGACGCCTTCGCTCACAGCCCGTGGCCAAAAATGCTTCTTTATGCGTTTTCACAAGTCCTGCCGATATCACGGACCCTGGACCGGGTACAGGAGGAAGTACCATCAGTCATCCTCGTAGCTCCTGAACGCATATGCGCTCTGTGGTTCCTGAATCTGCAGCGACTGATATCGGGTCGGCCGTGGAAACTGCTGTGGTGGTGGTGGTGGTGGGGGGGGGGGGCGCTCTCCTCCAGGCAGGAAGAGCGATCAGGAATTACCCAGAAATAGGTCAGCATTTTTGGGTCTGTCTGCTGAACAGATCTGTTTAGAAAAGATGGGCCTCCCACAGGATGTGGTGCATACATTCAGGGCGCACGAGCTGATTCCACCACAACACTGCATACATAAAGTGGACAGTTTTTTCAGCGCTGGTGCGCAGAGAAAGGCGTGGAGGCCATCTCATGGCCACTATGTGGCATGCTGTCCTTTCTGTGTCAGCTGATGGACAGAGATCTAGCGTTCAGCACAATTAAAACTTATGCAGCAGCTATTTCTTCCTGTCACGAGGGCTTCGGTGACAAAACAGTTCTTAATCACCCGTTGATGAAGCGTTTCCTGATGGGCGTATGGAGACACAGACTGGTGTCACGTCCACTAGCTTCAGAGTGAGACCTAATGATGGTCCCGCACGCTCTGATCAAAGCTCATTCTGAGTTTTTAGATCAGCTTTTACTTAAATTTCTGTCATTAAAACAGCCCTGCTGTTAGTTCTGACATTGGCAAAGAGAGTGAGTGTTTGTTTGCTCTCTCTGTTACTTCCTCATGTCTCAGAATTCAAGCTGACGGCAGTTCAGCTGTACTGCGTTTTAACCCTGCTCTGACAAGCTCATTCAGATCGAGAGTGATAACCTTGGATGGGTTTTATCCTCTTCCTCATAATTCTGAGGAGGAAGCAACAGCTCACCTCCTTCTGTCCCATGCACGCATTTTTCATGATACGTGGCGCACACGGCCGCACTGCGCTGTTTTCAGCGTATGTTCGTGCATTACTGGGACAGCTCTTCAGGACGTCCTCTATCCACCCAGCGCCTCTCACACTGGTTGTGTGAGGCTATTTCTGAACTTTACAGTTCATCTGGACTGGATACTCCAGAGAATCTCAGTGCATCCCACCAGAGGGTTTTCATCCTCCATGGCTCTGCATGGAGGGATGACAGTGGAGAATATTTGTATGGTGGCTGCCTGGTCATCACCATGTTCAATTTTTCGTTTTTTATCTATGTGATGTTTCTACTTTCTCCATGACCAATTCTGTTCTCAGGGTTCTGACAGAATGATTTTGTTTCATGGAGCCTCACTTTTGAGTTCACATCTGCCTGCATGCAATCGCAGTGTGAGATATTTATTATCAGTCACAAGTTCATGACTGCTGATTTTATTGTTATTAACCGGTTCATCCTGAGGAGCTGTTGGTCTGCTCTGTTTATTGTTACACTGTTACAATTCGTATCCTCCGTTGTTCCTATTCACAGCAGCAGGTGTGCTATCTCAGCCTTTTTTTCCTCGCCAGAGATCTTCTCCAGTGCGCTCCAGCGCATGGAGCACGCAATTACGCAGCGCGTAATTACGCACACAAAAGGCTGAGTGATGAAATTTTTTTTTGTGCAAGCAGGTGCTTCATGTTGTGTCTGAGTGGACCCAGTGAGGCATAGACTACATCCTGCTTCGCCTTTAACCCACCAGCGACAGCCTTAAATGGCGAAGCCTATATGAAATAGAACATTGGTTACATACTGTAACCCCAGATTCTATGAGTATAGGCGTAGCCCTTTAAGATCTGGGCCTCACTGGTTCCTAAATGGCTGAAGAAAAAAAAAGCTATTTTGGGAGCCGATTACCCGGTCTCACCGTAATTTATACAGACCGGGGGTGAGGCTCACGCACAGCAGGTGGGCGTGGACTAAAGTTTTTCAGTGCAGCGCTGAGCGCCTAGGGATAAACCCACCAGCGACAGCCTTAAAGGGCTACGCCTATACTCATGGAATCTGGGGTTACAGTATGTAACCAACGTTTTCTCTTCTCTGCTTGTTACCTCTGCTGTCAGAGGCTGTTTGCTCAGCACCAAACATGTTTTACAAGCAATGTACAGCGCGTTAACACCGTCACACTCAATTCTCATGACGTTCAGATTAGTTGAGACTTTCCTGCCAGTTCTGTGATCTTAATAGATACATTGTTAGTTCTGACTTTGCATTGCAAATCTATTTTCACCACATCAGTTTCTCCACTAGAGTTTGCTCCTCCCTCCAATGCTGCTCTTTGAAATTCAGAGGAAAACAGAGGCTAGAAGCACTACTTTTGACACGTTACAGTGCAGGCTTATTGTAAGAAAACTACAAAAAGCTTGTGCTATGTTTTTTTTGTTTGTTTGTTTTGTTGTTTGTCCTATTTGTTGATTCCCACTCCCATGTGCTCTCATTAACTTTATCCCGTATGTCCCAATCATGTGAGTAATAATAACGCTGACTCCCATTCCGCGGGAATCACATGATCTGTGGGATCCCCGAAAAAATGTCATTTTCTACGGTGGGAGACAAATGTTCCTTCAAAGAATGCTAGGCCTTTAATTTAAATGTTCTTATTATAGAAAGATTTTGCAAAGTGTTGGTTCTGCCAAGACAAACAATAAATAAATAATGAAGGTTGAATGGATGAGCACCCCTAGTGGCTGACTGCAGTACAATATTTAAGCCCCGCCCCACCACAAAACTAAAATACATTTTTCTGAATTAAAAAAAAAAAAGTTTTGTTTCAATTAAGCCTTAAAGGAAAGTGTCCCGTTTCACTGAGTTTGGCAAAAGTGGCAGCCTGGTGGCAAGGTGGATGGTGTGTAGGCAGATCGTTTGTATCGAGGTACAGCCCCACGCTCTTAGCCACAAACTCAACATGGCAGCTCCCACAAAAACAGACCATTTAGCTTCAGCTGATCAGAGACACTTCATCAAACCTGAACAGTACCTTGTCATTTTTGGCTCCCTTGGTCAGATTGAATGTGGCGTAAACTTCAGCAGTGCACTGCTCACTGACAGGCGGCAGCTCGAAGGGGACCGGCTCAGCCAGGCCATAGCTGGCCTTCAGCTCCAGCTGGGGGGCCTCAGCTGGGACTTTATGGAAGTAGCTGAGGAATAATCCAGATTAGCTTTAAAAAGGAAGAATTCTGGAGGATTCTGTGTGCTTACAGACTCACTTCTGAGAACCTGAGTCAGCTGCTCCTAATGTTTAAGTCTTCATCAGTTACTGTTTGATGTCAAATAATGTGTCAACTAAATGACTCTTACCATTTCAGCTTCCAGTTTTGATGCTAAGATTATATTTTGAGCTTTTAGTGTACAAACAAAACAAAGTACTCAAGAATTTATGGTTCTTACACATCTACAAAACATAAATATTTGCCCTAAAATATGCTACTTCAGAATGTGTGTGTGTGTGTGTGTGTGTGTCTGTGTGTAATAACTCACATAAAGCCGTTCTCTCTCTGGCACTTCTCCAGAGAGTTCTTGATGAGGTTGCCCAGTTTGAGGAAGAACAGCTGCTCAGACGGTTTGGCCGTGGTTCCCGGGCCTCTGGTCTGACGATACTCTTTACACAGCGCCTCGGCCCGGGAGTAACCTGAACAGTGACGTGTTTGTGTTAATGCTGAAGACATGCTGGGAGCACAGGAGGAGGCGAGATAAAGTCAGCAAGTACTCAGATCTCCTCCACCTGATGCTACAACCATTTAAATGGATTTGTTTCTCATAAATCCACTCCATAAAACAAATTCAATATGTCTACTTTTTAATTTCTGATAAGAATCAGAGTTGAAGGGCCTCTGTTAGAACCTCGAGTTGTTCTGTTTCTGACACAACGAGCTGTGGACATCTGAACTGGAGGACTGTCTGTCATTCTCTTTGACAAATTCTCTGAAGCTCAGTCAGGATTGATGTGGACCATTAGTAGATGCTCAGGTTCAGGTCTCTCCACAGTAGGGTTCAAGTGGAGTCAAGGTTCTGGCTGGTCCTGTCTAGAACAGTAATAGAGTCCTGTGTGTGCTTTGGGTCATCATCAAGGTGGAAGGTGAGCCTTCGGTCCAGTCTCAGGTCATGAGCCATATTCAAAGTTTGATTCAGGTACTTTTATTTGGCTTTCTCTTCATCCTGACCAGTGTCCCAGTCCCTGCTGTGGAAAAAACACCCACAGCATGATGCTGCCACCACCATGCTTCAACAATGTTTACTGTCAAGATGGCAAATCTAGAAAACGCCACAGAACAGAGAAGGGAGAAGAACACTAAAATAGTCATTCCTGGAGACTTTGAGAATTACAGCAGCTCCATCCATCCATCCATCCATCCATCCATCCATCCATCCATCCATCCATCCATCATCTTTACCCGCTTCTTCCTTTTTGGGTCGCGGGGGTCAATGGTGCCCATATCCAGCAGTCACTGTGTGAGAGGCGGAGGACACCCTGGACATGTCTCCAGTCCATGACAGAGACAAACAACCATTCACTCTCTCACTCACACCTAGAGACAATTTAGTTACCAATCAGTGTAACATGCATGTTTTTGGTATGTGGGAGGAAACTGGAGTACCTGGAGAAAACTCACGCAGCACAGAGAGGACATGCAAACTCCACACAGAAAGGATCCTGGGATTTGAACCAGGGTAACCTGCTCCAAATTTGAATTGCAAAAATGGAAAACAAACCTTCTCCAACTTCAGAATAGAAGTTGTGATTTTTTTTTTCAGTCTCATAGTCCAAGTCCTTCTGTTTTGCTCTGAAAAACTTTCATCTACAAAATTCTTCTAAAGCTCAGTTCAGTGGGAGTCTACAGTTCTGGATGTCACAATCAGAACCAAACAGGATCTCTGAAGCTCAGAGTGACCACCAGGTTCTTGGTCTTCTCTCTCACTAAGGCCCTTCTCCCTCGATGACTCAGTGAAGCCAGGAGACCAGATCTGGGAAGAGACGCTGTCGTGCAGAACTTCTTTGGATCCCACTGAGCTCAGTACAGCAGAATGTTTTTGGATTCTTCTTCAGATCTGTATTTTGCAACAATCACTGAGTTTTGTGAGCAGCTCATTTGACCTCACGGTTTGTTTTGGATCTTTTGGTCACCTTGGAGGCCTTCTATGGAGAGGTATCTCCAAATCATGTTCAGTCAGTTTAATTGACCACTCCAGTGGACTCCAGTCAGGCTGGAGAAACATCTCAGCAGAGATCAAGAGAAATGGGACAGCTGAACAAAACTTCAAGTAAAGTTAAGCCTCTATGTTTAATAAACTGACAAAATAGAATACAATTCTATTTTTACTTTGTCATTGTGGTGCACCTTTTTTTTTGGGGGGGGGGGAGAAGTTCAACAAGTGTAGCACTAGGTACAACAAAATAAAACTGAAAGAAGTGAAGAGGATCTGAAGATTTTCTGAAGTCACAATGCTTCATGGTGGGGTGTGTTCAATAAAGCAAGAGCAAACACCTGGTTCACTTCAGTCCAGAGTGATGAAATATGAGACATTAAACAGAGATTTAACTATTAAAAACACAGATATTAAAACAACTTAATGTCCCATGTGGGGATGTACGCACATTTTTCTGCTTCCTGCAGGGATCTTATAGCCTCACCACACTTATCAGTGGCCAGCAGCGTCTGGCCGTGGTAACAGTACGCCTGAAAGCACAACGAGTGCAGAGCTCAGTGTAGCTGAAGCAGAGCTGTGTTCTTAGAGCTGTGAACATGCAGGAACATACATAAGCCATGTAGAAATGCTGCTTCAGTTGGAGATACTTCTTCCACTTGCTGCTGCACTCCGGCTCCAACGTGTTCAGTGTGTGGTCTGTAAACACACAAACATCCACTAACATCCAGGAGGCACTCATCTAATTATCACCACAGTGTAAGGAATGTGTAGAATGGTTAAAGTTAGTTGCTACTTCTAGAAATCATTAGAATTCATGTAGTTGTGGAAAAATAAAGTGCAACAACATAAGGAGCTAGGCCTGTCACGATAACAAATTTTGCTGGGTGATTGTCTCAGAAATTAATGTGATAAACGATAATATTGTTTGAAATTTGACAATAATTAGTAATTATTGTCAAATTTAAGAAATGTTGTATGGAGTGTAGTACCTTTTTTGACCACTCGATGGGAGTATAAGACTGTTTGAACTGAAGGATGGATAGTGAGGGAGTAAGCACCGTTGCCTCTAAGAAAAATGGGAGGGAGGCACCTTGACGTGACATGGGCTGTCTCTTCTTTCTTTCAGTTCTCAACATGGTGGACGCTTGGTGTGGTTTGTGCTCTTTAGCATAGAATTTGTCACACAAAGCTTTTAATAAAAATTGGTAAACAAGTTCTCAGCTTCTTTTTGCAGAAAAAAACTTTTTACACGAAGGCACGGGTTTCAACCGTGAATTTTGGAGTTTCGACACGATGGAGGTTTTTCCCAAGGTCGACTTGTTAGCTTAGCTCGTAGCTTAGCTTCTGAACTTAGCTGCTTTTAACGATCCAAAGACGTGATTTTGGACAGTTAAAATTAATTTTAAAGAGAAAGGGAGGGGTCAGTGAAGAGCACCAGAGTTGAGCCTTTTGTCATCCAGTGTCTTCAGTAGAAAGAGAGCGACAAGAAGAAACAATAAAGCCGATAAATGAAAATTATTGACCTAATTTTCATTTATCATGCGATTAATTGATCTATTGTTTATCATGACAGGTCTATAAGGAGCACTTTCTTGAAAAGGAGTCCTCATGACGCAATGAGACTACCTGTAAAAATAAAGGTGAAATGAACAAAACCTAATGAAAAGTATAACTTCTCCTCACTAGTCTCTTAAGCTAGTAGTTCTCAAACTGTAGGACATGCTGTCATGGGTGGGCAAGACATTGCTTAATGTTTTCTTTGCTCCAGGTCGGAACATGTAGCAGGTGGACCTATTTTTGGGACGCACAACAAACATATACAGGGTTTCCTCTAGGTCTTGGGGGGTGGCGTTTCTGTGAGAGAAGCGGAGCGCTACGTCTGTAGCATTTTAGCTAGCGTGTCTGTATTGTGCACTGTTAGCTTAGTACTACATCAGTGCAGGAGGTTGCTGACAGGGTAGAGGGGACATATTGGTAGTCAGGGCACTCGGTTCTGTTGAGAGGGCAGGGTGCCCTCTTTGAATAACGATAGGAGAAACAAACACTGATATAGATTACATTTGTTATTTTCCTCTTTAATAGTAAAATCTGTTAACAGATCTTAACCACTCAGGAGTCAGTCACAAGGTGCTACATCGTGCTTGACCTAAGCTAGCTGGCAAATTTCAACGCACCCAAAGCTGAGATCGTACCATCGCTGAGTGACTGCTTGCATCAGATCCACATAGCTTGATCATCCAACCTAAAATCAATTTCACCACAATCTTTTGTCCTTCAAGACTTCTGTGAGAACCTGCTCACCTCCATTCTGGACCTGCCATTCTGTTTGTTTCTCCTTCCTGTCCTCTCAAACCCAGCTGGTCAAAGCAGATGGCCGCTTGTCCTGAGCCTGGTTCTGCTGAAGGTTTATTCCTGTTAAAGGGAGTTTTTCCTTTCCACTGTCTCCTTTATGCTTGCTCAGGACGGGAGACTGTGACAAAATGAATATGCAACATCTAAAAAAGTTCAATCTGGTCCTCTGGACATTCAAAAAACCCGAAAACAAAGCAAAACAACAAAAAATGTAGAAACGTTTCGTCTCTCGTCCGAGAGACTTCTTCAGTCTGAGGTGCTGTATTCAGCTCAGTCTCTTAAATAGCACCTTCTCAGAGTGGATCAACCAGTTTTGCTGCTGACAACCAAAACCAGCTGATCACATGCTCAAGAAGGTGCTATTTAAGAGACTGAGCTGAATACAGCACCTCAGACTGAAGAAGTCTCTCGGACGAGAGACGAAACGTTTCTACATTTTTTGTTGTTTTGCTTTGTTTTGGGTTTTTTTGAATGTCCAGAGGACCAGATTGAACTTTTTTAGATTTTTCTACCTGGATTATTGAGCATGCATCAGAATATGCAACATGTCTGCTGGCTTCCTTAGATAGAGAACTTTACTAATTGGCATTTAGGTATATGACAGTTTTCGTTCAGTGCCGGCACGACTTCTGTTGTGACTTGGCGTCATAGACATAAACTGAAATGAAATTTAATTGAATTATAAGTTTGGAAAATAGATATGTTACAGCTAAAACTGAGCATCATCACTGAGTATTGCTCACTGTTTTAAAAAACATACGTCTGTCACGTGTTGAAGCTTCACATCAACCCGGCTAAGGTGAGTTCTCCTCAGTGCCTCAGTGCTAGTTTTGTTTGTAAAAGCTCACGTAACTGCAGGACAACTGTTGAGTCAATAAGTGATCAGCTGTCGTGGGAGTGCACACAGCCTGTTTGAGTGTCTTGCTTGCTCACGCTCAGTGTGACTCATAGCTAGCACGTTTGTATTGTGCTGGCAAATGTCGACGGGGTGGGGTGGTGGGGGGTAAACACTTGGGAGTGTTGTGGGTGAAGGACATTTCGGTAGGCAGGCGATTGATTCTGTTGACAGGGCGAGGCGCCCTCCTTGGATAACAGTAGGGGAAACACTGCACACTATGCCCTAGATTATAGCAAAGGTTCGTCTCCAATTAACTTTTGTTTCTCGCATAAACTCAGGCTGTTCTCTCCATAGAAGTGTTATTTTAATGTGTTTGTAAAAAATGAATATCTGCAAATTTCAATATTACACTGTATTTTAGTAAAATAAACACGGTTTATGGGCTATTCTTTGGAGGCGCCAAATTTGATTATATTTGTAACCATACTGTGATGTAACTAATGTGATAAATGTAAGGCATTTAATGATAAATAATAAATGGACTGTACTTATATAGCACCTTTCCATCTTATTTCGAGATACTCAAAGCACTTTACAACATAATCTGTATCCTCATTTACCCATTCATACAGCACTCTATTAGATCTCTACAAAGCTAATTGAACAAATCATTCTAATGAGACTAATCAGTGCTTTAGATCACATTCATACACTGATGGGACACACATCAAAGGCTATGAAGGGTTCAGTGTCTTGCCCAGGGACACTTCAGCATGTGACTGCAGGTGGATTCGAACCGCCCCCAACTCTCGCATTGGAGGACGACTGCTCTAACCATTCAGCCACAGCCGGGAAGAAGTTTGAGAACTACTGCTCTTACCAGACTTATGTCACTCGGATTTTAGTTTAATGTTTATGCTGAGCATCAATAATAAAAACTAAGAAAACAAAATTCAAATGCTTCTGGATGCTGTAACAAATATGCAAAGTGATGCATTTTTCCATTTATCTCGCTCTATTATAACCTGCTAAACTCTGAACATGAATTCATTCAGCTTGAAACTCTGAGGTGAACTTTAAAGTGTGAACTTCCACAACAATGAACATCTGTCTGCAACTTTAACGCTGTAATAAAAAAAAAAAAAAAGTATGTCAAAGCTTTCTCCTTCATCTGAAGACCATGTTACCACCTCATGGCTTTTTATTTCCTGATTCATAAAACAACAATTAAAAAGATGCATTTTCTTTTTCAGATGGCTGTAGAAAAACACTGACCAGCTCTTAGATAGAAGTTTGCCGTCTCAAAGGCCAAAGCTGCGATTAGTGAGGCATTGTGCTTCAGTTCGATGGCTCTGGCAATTGTCACTGTGCAACAAAACAAAAAGAAGTGACGTTATAATGATAATTATCATTATTAGCAGTTTCCGTAGACCAACACCTTTAAATAACTAATTCGTCACATGTCAGGACTGTTTTTTTATTTAGATAAATTGAATAAATAAATTGAATTGAATTTTCCTGACTATAAGTTGCTCTTTTTTCATAGTTTGGCCAGTCCTGTGACATATAGTCCGAAGCGACTTATATACATTATTTTTCTCTATTCATGACGCAATTATTGACTGACGTGTTAAATGTTAATTAATACTGACATGAACCAAAGAGTAAACGTTAACATTTGCAGCCACGAGAGGGCCCATAGGATTTTGACAACTATATGCTGTTTTCTGCTGCTCGGCAGCAGATGATTCCCCCTTGTTACCTTCTTGAGCCTCAGCTTGACACTGGATGATGTATGCGTCCATCACACGGGGCTCCAGGTCTCTGCCCTTTTCTGCCGGGGTGATGAGGCGAGGAATGTGGACCTCCTGTGATAAAGATGCCAAAACAAAAAGAGGCTGTGAGTGAGTCTGAATGAGGTTTGTGCAGCAAACACCACAAACGTTACTCGTCTTTCCACTGGCCTTACCTTCAGAGTTTTGAATATTCCAGCTGCAACTTTCAAACTCCTGTGAACGTCTTTGGCTTCAGGCTCTGTTATACTGTTCAAGAAATAAACATAGCTGTCAGAGTTGTGCCTGAAGATTAAAAAAAGTTGCTTTAAAGGGATACAGTAAAATATAAAGGTTTTCTGTACTTCATGTAGTGAACTAAGCCTCAGGTCAAATCTGGCCCTGAGGGCCTTCCTGGGACAAGAACTGTTATCTCATTGATTTGAGTCCAGAAACACAAAATTAAGTTCATCCAGAGACTTTCTAAGTGTGTCCTGCACTGATCAATTGAAAGAACACTCTCTTTTTTATTATCATTACTACTTTACAAATGTCTTGATAATCAAAGTGTGTTTAGTTCAAACCATTTTAAATGTTGAAGTGAACTACTCATTTTAAATCAACTGTGAAACAGTATAAATGATTTTTAATCCTCATTCAAAGTAGAAATCTAGTTAATGTCTGTTACAGAGTAATTATTCATTTTCTTGATCTTCTGTCTGAAATGAGAAAGTGTAAGTCGGTCAAAAGTCAAGTTTCGGTCAACTACATGTTTACTGGAAAGAAATGTCATGTTTAACTTTTTCAGACAGATAGAAGTAGAACTGACTCCCAAAAGTCTCGGGTTCTTCAAAACATTTTCTGTCTGTTCTTAAACAACTTAATCTTTTTCCTTGACTTTTAATAACCTCTTACATCACTAAGACCACACCTTGTTGGTTCGTTTCGACCAATCAGGAAGTTCTCAGAGGAACCGGAAGTGACCTCTTTAAAAGGTTCAACACTTCCTAGTTCCATAGAGAATGCGAGAATGCAGAATGCTGGAATGTAGATCGGAGAATGCAGTTCGGAACGCAGAACGCAGGACAAGTTCCGAGTCTCGTGGGGATTATGGAATCTTCCACATCTGAGTGGAACCTCTGACGGACTTACTCCTCATGTGAGTCCACCCGGGAGGTGAACGTGCTGTTGAACGAAGTACCGGCACTATTCCGAACGGTTCTCTGCTATCGTTACGGAGACGCTGGAAAGCGTTGAAAGAGAACTCTACACCGAGGCCGAACTATCGTCTGCAAGGTAAAGAGTCGATCTTCAACTGCGAAGTGTACCGTGGGATAAGCTGGGTCCAAAAGAGCGTGTTGTTCTGGTTATACAGACACATATTCCCTCATCCATCCTTTCTCTCCATTTAAACTTCATTTCCCATCTTTAAAACTCTTCTATCTTGCCAGTAATTAATCCAGATATTTTCAGAAATGTCTGTTGTAGAGCTTGAACCCAGATACCATGGCCGTATGGTCTCTGATTGTAAAGCTAATTAATTAAGCTGTTATTGTAATCAATTTTGCCAAATTAATGTAAATGTTTGATGTTAAACTTTGATTCTGTTAATAAATGACCGCATTCATTTTTGATGGGTCAAAGAAAATTAACGTCTCACGTCACATTTAATCATTCAATGCACGATATAACTCAGTCCAGAAAAATGAAAGAATCCGTTTAATTTATGGATAATATCTTACAGATATATGTTCATTTACATTCAGCAGATAGGTTTAGATGTTTGAAGTAGAGGATGACATTTTTTGGGGAGTACCGCAGATCACGTGATTCCGGCCAGATTCCGGCGGGACCAGAGTCAACCTCATTATAACTCGTGACCGGGACGTGGCAGGACTGAAAGCTAACGGGAGCAGACAGGAGCGGGAACCGACCATTAACTAAAAATGAAAATGAAACATAACTAACAAAAAAATGGTGCAGCTATTATGTATTTTTCTTTCAGTAAGCCTTCACTTTAACACAAGTCAAAAGAACTACATTACCCAGACGTCAACTGTTCCAGCCATAGATTTTCACCGAGAGGGTGGGAGGAGCAGCAAAGTAAAGAAACTGAATGGCTGAAATAGTTTGCAACCCAATGTAAGAAGTAACCGTCTGTCTATTAAACTCACAGAACGAGCAGGAAAGTGTCAAATAACCCTGAACGTCACAAGAGTTGTGTTGGTGTTGTGCTGCTTTAAACATTAGACTCAGTTGCAGTGTGGAGCTGCGGGGAGTCGGACTTTGTTTACTGTTAGTTGAAACCATTAGTGAAAAGGCCAGACTTCAGGGGTATCTGAGGCAGGCTTGAAACACAAGAGTCAGGGTGGCTTCTGGGTAATACCAGATGGCTAGGCCTCAGACTGACGAAGCCTCTTGGATGAGGGGCGAAACGTTTCTTTTTAACAAAAAAACGAAGTCCAGATGACATGATTCAACCTTTTTTGTTGTTATATACCTGGATGACTGAGAAAACAAACTTTGTGTTTTTGAAACCATTAGTGAAAAGGCCAGACTTCAGGGGTATCTGAGGCAGGCTTGAAACACAAGAGTCAGGGTGGCTTCTGGGTAATACCAGATGGCTAGGCCTCAGACTGACGAAGCCTCTTGGATGAGGGGCGAAACGTTTCTTTTTAACAAAAAAAACGAAGTCCAGATGACATGATTCAACCTTTTTTGTTGTTATATACCTGGATGACTGAGAAAACAAACTTTGTGTTTTAGTTTTAGATTTAAGATATGTGTACAATTATGTTGTTGTGTTAAATTTTAGGCCAAGAGTTTATTTTTCTCAGTTCATTTCTTCACACCAGGGGCGATTCTAGAAGCCCTTTTTAGGGGCCTTATCCCCCAGTGTTGACAATGGCTCTTGGCTTGAACAACACAGTGGGTATTAGCATTAGAATTATTGTAGGGGGGACATATTGGTGTGAGGGCTGTGGGTCCTCCCCCATAACTTTTTGAATAAAGTAGCTGCTATTTCCTGCATTCTGGTGTATTTTAACAGGTTTTAAAACATTTATTTTTACCTTAATAAGTAAATCCTTTATTCAATAACTGTTTTATAAAGCATGGCACAAGAAGTAGCACTAAGCTTTTTGTTTGTCTTTCATTTAATTTAATTTTTCTACCTAACACAGGAAGCTGTTAGCTCTGGAAGCAAGCTGTTAAACAGCTTTGGACACAAAAACCCTTGTCACACACTTCAAAAGAGCAGGTAAGGTACATAAAATCTTGGAATCTCTGCCTGGTGAGTCTCCTTAAATAATTATAAAATATGATAAGTGAAATAAAGAAAAATTGAGCTATTGTAATTTATAATTGCAAATGTCACATTTTCTTGACTTAATTTCAATTGTAAATCTCTTGTTTTTGATTTTAAAAAAATTCCAAAAGAAAGGCCAACAAATTGTAATTTGTAGTCACGGTAACCCTATTTTGACTTGTGCACTGTCTTCTTTCAGTTTTAGGTTATGAAAGGCGCTGTACCCATCACTGAAGCTGTGGAGATATGAGGTGGAACACCAGACCTGCAATGCTCCAGTGTGTAAATGATGCTCTGAAGTCTGGTAAGCTGCACGACATCCTGCTTCGCCCAAACGAGCTCATTACCTCTGTTGAAGAATATTTTTGTATAATGAAGACAATACACTGTATGTTTTACTATTTTATTTAGTGCACTGAACTTGTGTAACCCAATGTACTGAACGTTTACTGGAAACCTTGTGATCGAAACTTGCTCACACAAACATGTTCCACCATCTGTCTCAAAAACAGGACCTACCTAAAACCACAGGTTCTGCAAAGACATCGAAAGCTGTTGGTCAGCAACGGCTGTTTCCAACTACAGACAAAAACATGTTTATCAGTTCGAGTTCTGTCACTTCTGCTTTGTGAGGAATCAACGCCCCCTTCATTGCCTGTAACACATTTCTTATGCACGCCCATGATCATACAAACTCTGTATAAATGACTGTAACCACTGTGTGCTGCAGACTTCACTTCCTGCAGCCAGGAAAAGCAGGTCTCCTTTGGCCAAAGAGAATAAACAAGAGCTTATTTTAAAGAGTGTTTTTCTGTTTCCTTTTTAGATTATTAAACATAGCTTTTATAGTTTAATTTTCTTCCAAAATTGGCGTTGTCGGCAGGATTTGTTGAGAGTCCGTCCGGTCGTCGAGGAATCACGACGTTGGCCGATCACCGGGGTCAGAACACCCTCCGACCCTCCACAGTCATTGGGAGTGGGAGGACGTCTTGATTCAACGCGGACAGGATCGGCTCCACTCAAATCCGAACAAGGAAACAGCTTACACTCGACCGTCAGGTAAAACGATTTTTCTACTTTCGCTTTTAACAAATGCAATTTTTATGAAAACTATGTAAAAATAAGGGATAAAAATTTTAGTACAAACATTATAACAACCTGACTAAACTGCCACGCAACTTTCAACTATTTCTGACAACTTTTAAAAGATCGCGAAAACACGATCTAAAAATTTCAAACCGCGTTTTCAACGCAAATTTTTCAGAGAATAAGGAGTGTAGGTTCGCCTGAAAAAGGGAACTGAGTATAGGTTCAATAGAACCAGAGTAAGCTGCCTTTTATAGGAATAAAAGAAGCCGAGTGTAGGTCCGTCTCAGAAAAGAGAGGACTGAGTTAAAGTCTATTTGTGTGACAAAAGACTAGAGGGTAGGTTCGTCTTAAATAAAAAGAGAACTGAGTTCATACCGCGCGAAGGGATTTTTTTTTTAAACAAATAAATAAATAAAATAAAGAAAAACTAAAATAAAAATGGGAAATAAAAATAACACACCCACGTACGTACCCGTCGGACCGATCGCAGATAAAATGAGACGTTTGCATGGTGAGTTTTGTGTCAGCTTTGTACACCAATGGCATCACAAATTTAATTTTCCTGAACATGGTTCATTGGAACCCGAGGAAATTGTGAAACTAGAACAACAATTATTGGCTCAAAAACAAAAAATGATGAAACAGAAAAAGATCCCACAGGAACATATTGTGGCAATGAACAACCACCAAGAGGCTTTTAGGATGTGGAAAAACGAGTCACAAAAAAGACCAGTAAAATTGATTCAAAAATTATCCAGATGACCCAGAAGTTAGAAGATCTCAGCGTCAAGACCCAGAAGGTGAACAAATCTAAAAAACAAAAACCAGATAAAAAAGGAAGTCAGAAAAAAGCTTCATGTATGTCTACTTCTAC